TCTCTCTCTCTCTCTCTCTCTCTCTCTCTCTCTCTCTCTCTCTCTCTCTCTCTCTCTCTCTCTCTCTCTCTCTCTCTCTCTCTCTCTCTCTCTCTCTCTCTCTCTCTCTCTCTCTCTCTCTCTCTCTCTCTCTCTCTCTCTCTCTCTCTCTCTCTCTCTCTCTCTCTCTCTCTCTCTCTCTCTCTCTCTCTCTCTCTCTCTCTCTCTCTCTCTCTCTCTCTCTCTCTCTCTCTCTCTCTCTCTCTCTCTCTCTCTCTCTCTCTCTCTCTCTCTCTCTCTCTCTCTCTCTCTCTCTCTCTCTCTCTCTCTCTCTCTCTCTCTCTCTCTCTCTCTCTCTCTCTCTCTCTCTCTCTCTCTCTCTCTCTCTCTCTCTCTCTCTCTCTCTCTCTCTCTCTCTCTCTCTCTCTCTCTCTCTCTCTCTCTCTCTCTCTCTCTCTCTCTCTCTCTCTCTCTCTCTCTCTCTCTCTCTCTCTCTCTCTCTCTCTCTCTCTCTCTCTCTCTCTCTCTCTCTCTCTCTCTCTCTCTCTCTCTCTCTCTCTCTCTCTCTCTCTCTCTCTCTCTCTCTCTCTCTCTCTCTCTCTCTCTCTCTCTCTCTCTCTCTCTCTCTCTCTCTCTCTCTCTCTCTCTGGCAATTTACGTGAGAATTCAAGAAGGCAAACAGACAGTTGATATATACCCACCCAAATATTTACATAATGAGACCTATCCGAAGCTATGCTTTGGCCAGTCTCGGCATTGATCCACACGTTCACAACGAGTCTGGATATGCTCGCCAACCTTGGCCGCTTCGGCTGCTACTAGAGACTCGCGAGCTAAGCTAATCCACGGACGGCATTAAACTCATTTCACGTGACGCAGGAGCCCAGAGGCCAATAACAGGCCGTCGGAGAGCGTCGGGCGAGGACCGGGCCGAAACCATGCTCAACAGGCTGATCTGGCCCGCCACGAGCGCCGCAGCGGCGGCCGCGACCCTGGCACAGCGGCTCCGGAGCCGGGCCGGAATGTGTCGACCGGCCAACGAACGACGCCGTCAATGGCACCTCATCGCTGACGCCGGCGGTGGCGAAGGCCCCCGGCGGCGCCAGAGCCTGCCCGGGACAGCCGAGGACTCAGTGGGCGTGTCCGGAGACGGCCGCGCGCCAGCCAGGGGATCATGGCACGTCAGCCTGTGCTGGTTACGTCCAGTGACGTAGCCAAAGGGGAGGGGGAGGGGCGTGCCTTCCCATGGAGGTGGCGGAGGTCGCATGGGGCCGAAGCCCCCTCCTCCCCCCCCCCCGCTCCAGTGTATGATCCAATTACTCAAAACATTCTTGAATAAAACAAAACAAGACTTATGTGCGGTGGAGAGTGGTTCCCTAGCTAGGAGGGCCCTATGACCCGATCTGGCCCCCCCCCCCCCCCTCCCTAGCGGAATTTCTGGCTACGCTGCTGGTTACGACGTGGTGATATAGCCAGGATTTCGTCCAGAAAGGAGTCGAACCAGGGACACCGGAGGTTCCTTCAGCCAAGGGTGCCACTTTGTACCATTGGACCCTGTTTGGCATTTCTGCGGATGTTTTCCGGTTTGGAATCCCATTTTAATTCTCGAGGGCCCGTTCCATTGCTTCAAAATCCTTACGAGCGTCTTAAACTACCAAAAAGTACTTTAAACTTTACCCCCTCTTGGCCCGGAGACCACCACGTCCAGGGAGCACTAAAACTTCCTTAGTTACGTCACTGTTGCGATGTGAAGATGCGGTCTTGCCCTGTGCGCTGTGCCGACGCCCGGAACCGTGGAGGGCGACTGCCGACTGTGTCCAGTTAGCGTGGGCGCTGCGGCGTGGGGAGGCCGGCTTCGTGCTGCCGACAGCGAGGCTTTACACGGCTTGGCAGCCCTCACATTTGAGGTCCGTCTGACGACAGATGACGTCAGAGCCTTTGCGACGCTGCTGGGCGGCCCTTTGCGACAGAAGCGCGGCGGACGGGGTGCATTGGGTTACAGCTGCCGCCGGCGTCAAGTAACGCCTCAGGCCGGTGTTGCGCTGGGTTAGATGAAAGATATGGTGTGTGATTAATTAGTAGGAATATTGCAGAGCTATGACACTAATTTGGGCAACTACCCTCGCGATCGTGACATTATTAAACCACCGTGCATAAGTCACAGCAGTGAAGAGAAATGGTTCTTCCTCTTGGTTGGCAAATGCTGCCCGGACTGGGAAATGATTAAGTACGTATTCCCTTAATTAGTACTGCTATGCCGAGCCCATAGACAAGCACTCGCAACATGCCGTTGGCACGGAATTCGCCAAATTAAATGGGAAAATAGCGAGAAGATTTCCTAGAAATTCAACTTTGTTTGCTTCAGACATCTTTCGTCGGAGGTTTTGCATTTAGAACCACCTAAGCCATTCTCGAGCAAAAAGCAGATGCATCTACCTTACTTAGCAAACAAAATTCACGAAAGCGTTGACATAATTAGATCTCATGATAAAAATGTCAGGGAAGCGGCTTCAAGCTAACATGACCAGAATTCTCTCATAGATCTGAAGCAGCACTGCACCTGACGCAGCGCTGCACCTGACGCGGCACCGCAATTAATACAGCTTTGCATCTCACACAGCTCTGCACCTAAGGCAGCTCTGCACCTGACTCAGCGCTGCACCTGACGCAGCACTGCACCTGACGCAGCACTGCACCTGACTCAGCGCTGCACCTGAGGCACCACTGCACCTGACACAGCACTTCATCTGACTCGTAATGCACCAAATCCTATTGCAGCGAAATCCTGCACTCCTTAGCCATCATGAAACATCGTGTGGCCATAATGCGTAGGGAGGCTGGTCCGAGTATTTACCATGAGTATGTATAGATCCACCGAAATACACCAAATCCAAAACACATTCGTCAAAACAGGAAATGTCGGGCGTGTCCCTGCACGATGTCTTCAAGCACGAAGCAATGGACGTTTTATGCCCCAAAAGAAATAGACAACTTTTTTTAAGTTCGCTGAAGAACTGCAGCTACAACGCGACATTTGAGGCAGACATCACGGTGGCGGCCGGCCTCTCCGAAAGCGCCCGCCCCAGCGTCCGTCCAACGCGCAGTCCGATGTCCGCGTCGGCGAGCGATCCTCACGTCCCCAACGGGCGCGGCTGGCAGCGCACCAGCGCCGCCCATCAGGCCCGCCGCGCCCGTCACGCCCGTCCGCGCGGCTGAGCGGTCGGCCGGCCGGCCGGCGGCCGGAGGCGGCCTGACCCCAGCGACCCCTCGGCCCATCCTGCTGACGCCACGGCGCGGGCAGCGACGGACCGCCGCGCGACCAATCCGCTTACTGCGCGGGCCACTGATAGGCTGACACGTTCGATCATCAGCGGCGGCGGCGGCCGTCACGCGGTGATGATCAAGCGTGTTGGGCTCGGAACAATTGAGCCTGCATTCGGACTTGGCGGACCGGTGCCTGGTGGGTTTGCCGCCGGCCCAATGTATGTACATGCATGCACAGCAAACGTCACGTGGGAATGTGCCCTGCCAGCCTGGTGAAGGGATAGGGAATGTGTCCTGTTAACCTGGTGAAGGGATAGGGAATGTGCCCTGTCAGCCTGGTGAAGGGATAGGGAATGTGCCCTGTCAGCCTGGTGAGGGGATAGGGAATGTGCCCTGTCAGCCTGGTGAAGGGATAGGAGGAGATCAGGACAGACTGAGGCTGGCGCGAGCGCTCCTCTCGGTAACACTGACTCGTCTAGACACGTACGTACCGTGCTGCGGCGCTGAACAGGCACGCCCGTCATGTGTAGTGCTGTTGTATTTGCTTGGCCTTACCGTACGCGCCATACTGTCACCTGCCTGTTGTATTGCCGTGTGCGCTTTGTCCACCTTTGCTTTTCGCGTGTGTTTGTGTCCAGCGGCGCTTGACGTAAATGATATATGTGCTTTGGCAGGGGTGTAGGTTCCTATTCAGTTGGTGAAGGGCTTTAGCCACCCCCAAACTTAAGCTCCAGTCCCGCCAGCATTGAGAAGAAAACGGGTCTCATTTGGCGAACCACTTCATTGGCGTATTTTGGGGTAGGTTGCATTCTTTTCGCACATCCCTCCCAATCCATTTGGCGAAACTACGCTGTCACATCTGTTGTGTTCACCTGTGCTTGTCAGTTAAAAGCTGTGGGCAGCTGTACTTGTTGCACGTGCCGAGCTGGGACCTCGCGGTATGTGGTGTACCCACCTGCGCCCGACCCACGTTTCGTTCTTGCTTGCGCTGGTCGTATGTATTGTACCCACTTATGCGCGTCGTAAGCGTCAAGTTGCACCCTAACGTGTGCGTTGTGTCCCACCGTGAAGTGTCTTGGTGTCGCCTGTGCATGTCGCACGTGCAGTCCTGTGCCGCCATCGTCGTCCGTGTGGCGCTCACCCGTGCATGTCGCACGTGCAGTCCTGTGCCGCCATCGTCGTCCGTGTGGCGCTCACCCGTGCATGTCGCACGTGCAGTCCTGTGCCGTCATCGTCGTCCGTGTGGCGCTCACCCGTGCATGTCGCACGTGCAGTCCTGTGCCGTCATCGTCGTCCGTGTGGCGCTCACCCGTGCATGTCGCACGTGCAGTCCTGTGCCGTCATCGTCGTCCGTGTGGCGCTCACCCGTGCATGTCGCACGTGCAGTCCTGTGCCGCCATCGTCGTCCTTGTGGCGCTCACCTGTGCCTGTTGCACGTGAAGTCCTGTGCCGTCATCGTCGTCCGTGTGGCGCTCACCCGTGCACGTCGCACGTGCAGTCCTGTGCCGCCATTGTCGTCCGCGTGGTGCTCACCCGTGCATGTCGCACGTGCAGTCCTGTGCCGTCATTGTCGTCCGCGTGGTGCTCACCCGTGCCGTTGCACGTGCAGTCCTGTGCCGTCATCGTCGTCCGTGTGGCGCTCACCCGTGCATGTCGCACGCGCAGTCCTGTGCCGTCATCGTCGTCCTTGTGGCGCTCACCTGTGCTTGTCGTACGTGTTGTACTGCGGCCGTCATCGTCGTCGGTGCGGTGCTCACCTGTGCTTGTCGTACGTGTTGTACTGCGGCCGCCGCATCACGAGCAGCCGCGGCAGGATGTGGATGAAGACGCGCCGCACCCACGGCGCCATCGAGTGCGTTTGCGGCGACCGGAAGTGAATGTTGAGCACCACGACCGTCACGCATATGCTGAAAACGAGACCCGGTCAGCAGCGACTCAGCAGCAGCAGCAGCGACAGTCAGCAGCGACTCAGCGGAGCGCCGGGCGGCGCGCGCTCCTCGGCTCTGGCTATTGACGCCCGTCGCAGTGCCGGAAGGGAGGTGGACGCCTCTGTGCCCTGAGCCGCGTGCATTGGAGATGTCAGTTGCAGAAAGGAGCTCTGCTAAAATATGCATGTTTCGCGCTGCTATTGTCATGCAGATGTCGAAGTCGATAGCGGAGGAGAAGTGGTAGTGAATAATTCAATAGGTGAAATAGTACGTGCTCAAACATGAATAGTGCTCTGGCTTCAGTGAAATCCGCGGAATGGCGTCGAAAGTAGCTGCCAGTTTCATCAGAGCCCTGACAAGCTGAAGGAAATTATTTCATACAGAAGACTCCGCAACAAGACACGTGGGCGCACGCGAACTGAATCCACAAGATCTTTCGCAGAACGTCGCTTAGATAGCATACTGCCTGTCATTGCGGGTACGGCTGTGACAGATAGGTCGACATAGCCATGCTTTTAACCAAACAAAGGCATCCGTACGCCAGTCTGCTTCAAACCCTTTGCAGCGATGTGTTTGGCAACGGTGAAAACAATCGAGCTAATTGGCCTGGAGACAGGTCGGCGGTTATTAATAGTGCCTGCTCAAGGCTACACTTAGCTTCAAGCATGGGCGATTTCCGTGTGGAGCATAATGCCAACAAAGCTTTCAGGCCCAAAACGCAGCCATTAAACTTCACTCTCCTGCTCCAACCCGCTTGCCGCAAAGACCATCAACCAGACAGAGGGCTTTGTCTGATTCCAGTCCAGTTCAGCATTGAAGCCAAGTGCATTCAAAATGACGATGAAACAAGCCTAACTATGAATCAGACCGTGATATGTAAGGCACGCCCTGGTAAATTTTCAAGGAAGGCAAATTATCCGACGCTCTTGGCGCGGGTTCGAAGATTTCTTTTCATCGGATTGGCTTTTGTCAATCTACATGGAAGCAGAGAACACCTCCAACATCTACCATGGTCTTGCTCGCCCCACGCCGCAAACAGCGATCATTGGTTGCAAAAGGTTACGCAACACAGTGCGTGCGAATTATGTTAAATAGCCGGTGACAAGGCCGACAGCAATGCCTGCTAAAAAATTTGCCTCCAATTTTGCTTTCAAGAATGTTGTGAATTTTACGATTTATTGTGTTGCATTTGAATTTGAGACCGAAGCCAACGGTGCACCGGGTTATATGAATGTCACATGAGCTGAATCTGTCTGTAGCCTAAGTAAATACTTAACCGCGCTCCAATGCTAAGTGAAACCGTGTTTTAACCGTGCTCGAATAGTAAGTGAAGGTGGTTGTAAAATATGAAAACTGCAAGCAGTTTCATGTGACATTTCATGACAGGAAAGTAGATCAGTGAGCGACGATGTCTAGGTTCCCGGTGTTCAACCAATTAGCAAGAAAATAACACAAGGATTGCTCGACTATGTGCCGTAATGTTTTTTCTCACCTTTTCAGCCTATCATAGCAGTATGACTTCGTTCCACTTCACCCAGGCGACCACATTGGCCACTGCCGCTAAGCCACAGCCTTTATCCACGTCATCGTGCCATACACTGCGTTCGCTGCGACGGCACACATACCAAAGAAATTATCCACGCACCTTAACGTGTCCAATATCATGGTGGAGAAGACGAACTTGCCGAGCAGGGGCACCACTAACGACGGCACACATACCAAAGAGATTACCCACGCACCTTAACGTGTCCAATATCATGGTGAAGAGGACGAATTTGCCGAGCAGAGGCACCACTAATGATGTCGGTGGGATGATTTCAGCCAACAGCAGGAAGAACACAGTGAGCGATAGCAGAATACTGATGGACAAGCTGACCTGAAACACACCAGACGTATGACGTCATAAGATGCTCGCCGAACGGCAGCAGAGTACCGCTGACGCTCATCTGCTGCACATTAGGCTCCTGGGCTCGCACCCAGCAGTGTGGAGGCAGCATGGTGAGGCATATCTCATACAGCCTGATCGTCAAGATAACTGGGTGAAGACGGTTCTCGAAAATGCGGTGCATTTATCAAAGCTACGAGAGCCAAATGAGATAGGATTGCTACGCAACGGTGGTCGTAATGATGTTAAGTGGAGGCATGTTGGTTTATTAACAGGGATAAACTCTCATTCCAAAAGCGATAGCACTTTTGCATTTCGAGGACGCAGCCAATTGATCCTGATCAGTTTTAGGTGCGTGCTTCAAGTGCAAATTTTTCTACTGCCTGAGACTATATTTATTTACCGTGTAGAGAGAAATTGCGATGAGGAATGTGTACTTGGCACATGGTTGCGTTTCACAAGCTTTCATACCATGGGATATTGTCATGATAACCCGATATTCCCGATAGCTCCGTTGGTTAAAACGCCTGTATTCCAATCCGTCCAACGTTGCGGGATGGGTTTGAGTCCCTTTAAGCGCTCGCTGTGTGCCCTTGGCTGGGATGGTCTGCGGCCGCTGGTAGCGGCCGCGCTAAGCGTTATGTTTTTTTTCAGAGGGCATGACGGACTGTGACGAGCATTGAGGCACGTTACGTTTTCGCCATCAAATTCTGCCATTGACCTGGAATGTCACTATCGGGTGTGATCGTATCGGGTGGGTCGGGTCGGGCTGCACACCACAAATACGGATTATTGTGAGCTCTTATCCTAGAAATTCATCCATTCGATTGGCTCGAACCAAATCTTTTAAACAAATGTTGTCAGTGACCTGGTTCTCGAAGATACATACGGCGAAAATGCGAAACCTCGTCCCCGGACGCTGTCGACGATGGTTGAGCCAGCTTCTTCAATCCAGATTATCATTTTTGGTAAATTTCAAGTATGACAATCAAATTGCCTTAATTATATTGGGATAGATAACGTGCCAGCTCGAGGCCGAGTTGATATGGGGCGAGCTTTGAAATCGTTGAACAGTACTGGCTCCTTCATATTGCACTCGCCTATTTGTCAGTTGGTCATCATTCAAGACGAAGTCAATGTGAGCCCATGAACTGCTACAAATGCTAATCTAATAACGCCCATTGATACGCGGGACCAGATATTACGTTTTTGGTAATTATATTTGAAGATATTTACCGAAATTTGGCGTTTACTTTCAACAAGATCAGTGTCAAATCGCAGTAACAGATTCATACGCAACAAGCTTAAACAGTGTCAAGCAGCGGCACCGCTCCCGAGCCAGCGGGACCAGCATGGTCGCGTCCGCCGCCGCTCCTCTTCACCGAGCCGCCAGCGGCACCGCTCCCGACCCATCGGAGGCCGGGGTGGCCGCGTCCGCCGCCGCTCCTCTTCACCGAGCCGCCAGCGGCACCGCTCCCGACCCAGCGGAGGCCGGCGTGGCCGCTTTACCGAGCCGTCAGCGGCCCCCTTCCCGACTCAGCGCAGGAGGGCGTGGCTATGTCCGTCGCCGCACCTCTTCACCAAGCCGCCAGTGGCACCGCTCTCGGCCCAGCGGAGGCCGGCGTACTGCCGGCGGACGCCGCTCGCCTGCGGCCGACAGTCCGGCGACAGATGGCTCCTCGAGCCGCTCCCGACAGCCGGCTCGAGCTCCGACTGACACGGCGGACGGAGAAGACGCGGGGTCGAGGCCGCGGCCGCCAAGACCCGCTGTGGCACGGGCGCGCCGCGCGCTGAGGCTGCGGTGCGCCTCCCCCCTCCCCCCCAGGCCGGGGGCAGTAGCAGCCTCCATGTGATGGGTCAGGGATGTCGACTTATGTGAAAGCAGAGCTGGGTGACTTCCGCGAGTTTCGGCCTTATCTGAGGATTGAGATGATGTCTGTTGTCAGCTTCAACGTTTGTTCCAAGACGAGGAATAGCAGACCTGGAAAAGAAGAAAAGAAAAGGAAGGAAAGAAAAGAAAGAGAGAAGAAAAGCAAAGACGTCGCTTCCGGCGTGGCCGTGGCCTATTTATCAATAAGCGTCTGGTAATGTATTACACCTGTCCTGTTTGAGAGCAGGTAATGCAATACAAATCACAACATCTAAATGCCTTGTTCGCCTGCCTGTGCTGAGGGAAAGGCGTTTGTATGCATTTTTATATAACCACGGATTATGTTACTTGTATCCGAGTATCCTGCACCTTCATTGCTTGCACTCTCGCCTTGCTGCCTACAAGCTGAACGCAAACAGTATGCGGTTTATTCACATACCAAATTTCTTCGTGGTCTGCAAGGGCTCCTGAACTCCGAATCTTCATCCTTTCTCGGTTTCCCACTTCTTTCAAGCTCACAAGTCTTCTAGGAGCTTTTTAAACCATGCTTAAAGATTCTCGAGCACTTGGAGACTCTCATTAAAGAATGCACACAAACGAGCGACTTAGCCTGCGATGATGTGAACTACCTCTCAAACCCGCGCTGTCGTTCGACTTAAGGCGGCCGTTAATGGATTCGTTTGGAAAAACAAAGGTGGCACTTATATCCGCAAGTGGTGCATAAATTTAAAGCACGTAGAAGGCTGACACCGGCAAAATATGGTAAAATAGACCAGAAGACTGGCGCTCGTGTGTAGCTTTGTGCTGCATGCATTCGCAGCATCGTCGGAAATAGGCGAAATACGACAAGATATTGGCAATGTGTTAGAATTTCATACACAGATGAGAGAGTGGCTAACAGCAGAGCACTAAACGTGAAGGAAACGATCGTGTCTAGCCAATATTTTGTATTGCCGGTGTATTTGGTGCCGTGTATTCTTGTCGTATACCGTCAATTTTGCATGCATGATCACCATTGTATTTACCTGGGTAAGCTTGATGTCGGCGGGAGCTTCAGGTCTCAGGTTGTGTCCATCATCAAAAGTGACTAGTGATTATGGGCTTAAGCCTCATCACGTACCTTAATGACTAGTGATTATGGGCTCAAGCCTCATCACGTACCTTACTGACTAGCGATGATGTGCTCAAGCCTCATCACGTACCTTAATGACTAGTGATTATGGGCTCAAGCCTCATTACGTACCTTAATGACTCGTCTCTGGTCTGCACGTTGAGTTAGTCTCGATAAAAAACAGGTAGCTTTTTGATTTTCGAATAATCAGTTCCCCTTAACATGTATTAGCTTGATTCGTCCGATAATCCATTGTTGTTCACCAATCGATTCATTGCTGTCATAAATTTTGGAGAAGGCATTGGCTTTAGGTCTTTCCTTCTTACGTTAAGTAATCAGCACTGGCTAGAGGAAGAAATGCTTTTAAAAACAAAACGCATGATACTGGCCGACAAAAGCCTAGGTGGATTTTATACGGCATCAAACTAGAGGGCCTCGTGTCTGTCGAGCGGTACGGATTATCGGGAACATTCACGCTGAGAGGGAAGGGCGACCCGCTAACGCAATTTTCGCCCCCCGAGATCGCTTCGAAACCGCCAAAAAGATGAAGCAGCATATGCGAGGCATTTGGAATACCCAGGAGCATTGGGAGGCGTAAGACGGCGCATGAGAGAGAGCAGCTGGCTAAGAGACTGCTGGACCGATCGCAGGACTTAGAAACGATTTCGAGACCATTGGGGACTCACTCATGGACGATCTATGAGCAATCGTTGTCAGAGCGACGCAATAAAGACACCATAGCAGCAACAGCTTCAAAATAACAAATCAAGAGTACGACGGCATTTGGCTTAAGGTGAATGTAGTTCAGACTGCGCTTTAAAGCAAAAGAAATTGGTCCAAAACAAGTCTCTTATTAGAATGGATTAGCCTTATATTCATGATGTATAAATTAAAAACCCGAAATGCACATTATTAAATATTCGGACTTGGCTTTTTCTCAGCTGTCCACAAATCACTGAGCTTCGGAGTAGCCTATTAAGAACCAATTGTAGACGCACAAGTGTGTACATTTCAACACCTTTATTGAAAGGCTTACGTAGGAATGCGTTATCTAAGGCGAATTCTGCTAAAAACTCGTCTCATTCCCTTTAGTAAATAGCATAGAAGTACAACGTTTCCGAATGGAATCACAACGCCTTTGCAACACAAGAACGATATTTGATGTCGTGGAAGGTCATGCCCGCCAGCATCAGGACAGGCCCTAAAGTCTCAGCGGTGAACGACCCACACGCGCACACGTAAGTGAGCGGGGCAGAGCTCCTCTGTTGTGATTGGTCGACCGTCACTGCGCGGCTGGGTGGCTGGCACTGCACAGCACACGGACACGTGCCGAACTCTACCCCGCGACCTGTCGGACACGTGACAGGGTCTACCTCGCGACCTGTTGATGTTCCGCCGCCGCCTGCAGCTCCAGGTCGCCCGATTGACGGTAACAGCACCTCTGCCTTGCCCCCTGCCGCTAACGCAACGGGACTGACGATGGCAACACCGCTCCATGCCCCCTGCAGATCCGTCCACAGTCGTCGCCGCGGATGACGACCACCTGGACTTCGACAGCCAAGTTGGCCGTCACTGCCGACGGAGGCCCCGTGCATGCACCCCAGCTTTCCCAGCTCAAGGAGTGAAGGGACTCGACGTCATCCGCCACCAATCCAACGGCCCATGGAACTGAGGGTGAAGTAGTTCATTATCATGAAAATTGTCCAAATAGACTCCAGGAATCAGTCAAAATCAACTACAATTTTACTAAGCATACAGTTCTGTAAAAATCGGATAGCTCCGCTTGCGTTAAACTTAGCAGAAGCAGTTGAAGTAGTGGAAACCACGTTTCTCACTGACCATGACGTAAAACTGCGATCTACAACTGCAGAACCAGCTGCTATTTGTAGCGCAACAGCCAGCAAAGAATTACAGCGTCTGGTCTCCAGCATGCATTTATAATACAGTGGCTAGTATAGTGTCTGGTCGGCAGCGGCGCGACTTGGTCGCTCTGGCGAGCGATGCTCGGAGGGCTGGCAGTGGTGTAGGATTGGCCGTGGCAGGTCATACGCCTACGAGGACCGCGGCCGCTGCCGACGGCGGCGGGAGACAACTTACGAGGACCGCGGCCGGTACCGACGGGGGGTGAGAGACAGCTTACGAGGACCGCGGCCGGTACCGACGGAGGTGGGAGACAGCTTACGAGGACCGCGGCCGGTACCGACGGGGATGGGAGACAGCTTACGAGGGCCGCGGCCGGTACCGACGGGGGTGAGAGACAGCTTACGAGGACCGCGGCCGGTACCGACGGGGGTGAGAGACAGCTTACGAGGACCGCGGCCGGTACCGACGGGGGTCGGTAGACAGCTTACGAGGACCGCGGCCGGTACCGACGGGGATGGGAGACAGCTTACGAGTACCGCGGCCGGTACCGACGGGGGTGAGAGACAGCTTACGTGGACCGCGGCCGGTACCGACGGGGGTGAGAGATAGCTTACGAGTACCGCGGCCGGAACCGAAGGGGGCGGGAGACCGACCGTGCCTCCAGACCACAAGCTCCAGTTCTGCCACTACGGATATCACAATGTGCGCATACGGATAGCAAGTTCTAGCATGAACGTGATCTGCAAGTCACGTATTTCCAAGTTCGCATGAAATTTGCATCTGCACGGCACATAACCGAGCAGCTGGCAAAAGAAACGTTCTGACCTTTTCAATCCTCGTGCTTCTGGATATCTCTCAAAAGATTGCAACCGCCAACACTTTGGGACGTGGACTGGGCGGGCAGCAGTCACTTAGCACTGCGTTGGGGCAACCGAAATATCCTGGAGATAGTCACTTCCAATATGCGATGGGGGATGGTAGCGCGTATCGTAATGTTCCATGCTGCAGTGGTGCGGCAGACCAGTAGCGCAGGCAGAGCGGGGGGGGGGGCAGAGGGGCATGTCCATCCTCAGGTTCCGAGGGGCTCGAAGGACGTCTCAGGACCAACAGATAATGAACAGATTTCAGTGTCCGAAGGGCCCGGAAGGTCCACCGGAGGTCGTATTCAGGGGGCAGCAGGGCCCGGAAGGTCCACCGGAGGTCGTATTCAGGGGGCAGCAGGGCCCGGAAGGTCCACCGGAGGTCGTATTCAGGGGGCAGCAGCGACGGGCATTCCAATGCCAACCAAAGGGCTCTGCGCGCTGATCAGGCACCCGCTGAGTCGATAAGGGGCTATATGTCGGTCGGACACCACCAGTAACGCATAGTCGGCTCCATGGCAGCATGGGCCGGGGACCCATTCCCAAAAAAGAGACAAAGCCGAATCCAGCAATTTACGTTAGTCCGGGCACCCCGGGCAATAACTCCTGTGTTGGTAATGGGCCCCGAGTAGGCCAGAGACAATGTTTGAGGAGGCTCGAAGAGCCTGGAGGGCCCCCCGTTCCGATGATCAAGGGTCCCATTGGAGGGTCTAAAGGCACGAGGGACTGATCGGAGCCTTATTCAGGGGCCTCAACCTGTGGGGACGGACCATCAAATGACAGAAAACCCTTGGCGCTGATCGGGAGCTCCCTGAGTCCATACTGGCCTATATATGGGTCAGGCACCATCAGTAGCGCACAGTCAGCTCCGTGTCAATATGGGCCGGAGGGTTCACTTCCCAATCAGCTGCTAAGGTGGAACCAGTGATTCATACCGGTCGGAGCTCCTGTATCTACCATGGGCCCACAGTGCCTAACAGAAGGTCCTGTGCTCGTAAGGGACCGCGAGCCAACCAAGGGCAGTGCTCGACGAGGTCCGAAGAGGAGCCGGGCGGCCCAACGACACCGACCATCAAAGGCCCGAAGGGCATAAGGGCCAAAGGACTGGCTGTAGGTCACAGAAAGGTGAAGACCCTCCGAGAAAATCCGGGTATCTAAGTCGGCCAAAGACCACGAACACCGAACAGTCAGCTCTTTTCAGTCTGAACCCTGGGGGCCCATTTCCCAAGCACGAACAAGGGCGGGGCCACGACTTGTATTGGCCTGGGCCCCTGAAGCAGTGGTTGTTTGAGGAGGTCCACAGAGGGGCCGGAGGGCGCCTCGAAGACTATGACGAAGCTTCTAAGTGCTATCAGTTTAGAAAGTTCTACTGGACCACTGTAAAATGAAGAGGCGCTGGTAATTTAATTCATGTAGCCGTTTAACGCATGATTTCTTCAGCCCACTGACAATAAAATCCAGGCAGAATTGATCTCATCGCAGCCTCTGGCTTCCATTCCAGTTACAGAAAGCAAAACTTAGAAAAATAAAAGAAGAGCACGCCCTCATTAATAAATGGGCCATATCCGGCGATTTTGGGGAGATTCTTTTACTATCAGGGGGTCCTATTCAACCTAGTATTCCCTCGTTTCCAAGGCTGCGGCTGCGCTCCTGCGGTATACCTGGCAGAACAGACCAGCCTGCGGCACACCTACCTTCTCCCCGCTGTCCGAGGGCAGGTAGAACACCAGCACGGTCAGAAACGAGATGCCCATGCAGGGAATGATGAGGTTGACGGTGTAGAACAGCGTCTTCCTCCGCATGGTGATGTTGAACGTAATGTCCAGGTATGGCTCATTACAGCACGTGTAAAACTTCTCGTGTCTGAAAAAGAGTTGAGAGTCACACCGATTGATAAAAGGCGATAATGTTATGAGCATGAATGGAGCGCTATGCAGACGCGTCCCATGTCTCTCACCTTATCGCCGGTACATCCAGAATGTCCCACTCGACCGAGAGGTAGAAGTCCGACAGGTCGACGCCCAGCTTGACCTTCGGGTCCGGGGGATCTTCCTCCACGTGCCGGAGGTCCACCTAACGACCCGTCAACGTGGTCAGACCGATCGCCAAGCGCAGGGAATGCCTCTGACGAGTACCTTAGCACGTTTCAAACAGATGGCCATTACGGCGCATGACGGATCACTCTCATTTAATGCTGCAAGACATGACTGCCCAGGCTCAATATGGCTTACGAAGGTACAACTACAGCAACAGTAAAGTCCTCTCGTACTTCAGCGCGCATTATTTGTCGTACGTCAATTCTGGAACCTCAAATTGCAACACAACACAAACCTGCTGTGTGGAACCGTCCCGATCCAGGCGCATGCTCTCGGTACCAGACAGGTCGATGGGGTTAAATGATTCATGCCGGCCCACCTGTTCAAAGGTGTGGTAGTAAAGCTTGACCGAGACTGAAGTGAGCCGGAGAGGCTGCTATGTGGTGGGTTCTGTTTGCTATCAGGTGAGTGGGTGATTGGCACATGCCATTTGGCCTCAATTCGGCGAGATATACGACATAAAAACAACAGAACTGGTTGCAGCATTTTGATTTTTTAAAGATTTGATTCTAAACTATTGATCGCATAACTTTCCGGTATCAACACCCACACTTAGTGATACTTGTTGGGCAACGCTCACAGCACTACCCGATGGAGAAATTCAGGGCCAAGGATAGCATGTCACAGTGAAAGCATACTGTGCCGCAACACTTGGCACTGCATGTTCTGCCATGAGGGAAAAGCCCTCTGACGTCACATGACCTTTATCGCACACGCCGCTACCGGTGGAAGTCCAAGCCAGCCAGGGACAAATAATAAACGTACAAAACGCGTCGAACCCTCACCACCACCAGTAGCTGAAACATAATGCAGGCGCTCTAACCAACTGAGCTATCTGGACGACCCATGGAAGGGAATGGAAGAATCGGGTGATGTTTTTGCGGATGAGCTTCGGCATTAGAGAGAAAGACATTGGCATCTCCCGATTTTCAAATGCAGGCGAGCCTCAGCATAAGAGAGAAAGACATTGGCGTCTCCCGACTAACAGATCAACATAGCCAAAATGAAGAGCAACGAAGCGTGACAAAGTCAGATTACCCATTTTTATGTTTACGATTTTTGCTGACGTCCATGAGGAAAGGGTTCTGACCGCTGGACCGATATTTGTTATATGTTGGGCCAAGTTTAGCGAGGAGAGACGCCTCAGATAGAGCCATGTAGCCTAAATGAAAGCAGGCGTAAATATCACTGACGTCCTCAGGAGCCTGAGGCGTCAGATGCATCCGAATATTTCGCTCCACCCAACTTAAAGACATGATAGGCCGTGCTGGTGTAGGATATCAATGCTACCATTTTTATATAAAACGGTGGATTCAAAGCTATTGGTGTCGTAGTTTCGTTACCCTCCCCACATGAGAGCCTGACACAACTGTAAGCGTAAAAGGATACAGCCTGATCTTCTTCCTATTTCCTTCTTCCTATTCCTTTCCTTCTTCCTGATCCCCTGATCTTCTTCCTAGTGTTCCTATTCTGTATTCTAAAATGTAATTTCCTTATTCCTGAGGTGTCAATGCATTTTCCACGGGCTTACCCACAAAAGTAATTGGTACTTTCTCTCCCTTGCGTGGTTCGTCCCGATAGCTTAGTTAGTAAGAACAGCTGCATTCCAAAAAACGGCGGTAGCGGAGAACGTTATGGACACTTCATGCGCTTATCATTTGACGCTGGTTGGTGTGGACTGCGGCTGTAGTAGCGGCTGCGGTAAAGATCAGGTGGCGTTAGAGAGCCCTGCCGTCAGGGTAGAGCGAGGAGTGCACAGGTCGCGGCACGTTCAGTTTTCGCCGTCAAATTTGACCGTTGGTCCGGAGTTTTTGAACAACACCATTTAGCGTGGGCGCTGGTCCCTAGAAGTCTATCCAATCAAAAGTTTAGGACGAAATCTTAAAGCGAAAATACCATACGGCAACCGATTCCTGGACTTGGTTTCGTATATCTTCCAGAAATAGAGCCATATTATAATAGATGTCTACCACCCACACACCTCATAACGGAGCAGCACCGACCGCACAGCAGCCTCTTCAGTTCGCTTCAATTCCAGTCGAGCTCCTCAAACACACCATCGAGGTAATGGGTCGGTCATCAATCACTCCAGCCCTCTGACCTGCTTGCTGCCCAGGGCATGTGCCAGGATCAGGAAGGCTCCCCTCAGCAGCTTCGTGCTGCGGTGCGATCTTAAGTTCCAGAACTGACCTCCGAGAAATAAGGCGTGCAGCAGCGCGAGAAGGCTTTATTGTTGCTACAGTTTATGCCAGCACGCGCCGATCGTATCAGGCGTGAAATCTGAGATGCTCATTCACCTGCTTTCCGTCGTACGTCCAGCTGCCGAACTTCATGACGCACGTCTGCTCGTCGAACGGGAAGTACTCGACGTCGATCTCGCAGGAGGACTTGTAGATAGCCGGCGGCTTCCATTCGACCCGCCCGTCAAAGTAAAGGGTGGCCTTTGTCGCCAGCGTCACCTCGAAGTTGCCGTCGGCGCTGGAAGAATACGAATGTGTTGTTGACTGCCCATGACCTAGCAGTCAACCACATCTGTTGACATAAATTGAAACACATAACTGAAAACTCCTATAACCGGATTCTAAAAGCAAAATTGCCAGCCTGAAGTGGAGGCGACGAAAGAAACAAAAGAAATGATCCGGCAGCGCGTAAATCTATAAAGCTCAGCATTAATACGGACGCACCTGTAGGTGTAGAAATTTCCAAATCTTCGCAAATTTACTTATGTCAAACATCAGCACTAGGCAATGATATTCGGTTAACAGCGTCCTACATCAGGTCTCTGCGCGACATTTCGAGCACGTGTGTGTTATAGGACACTTCCACCACGACACGAAGAAAACGGCTGTTTGTCAAGGCAGGACAGAGCAGGGCTGTTTTAACAATAGCCAACCCTGTTAGGCCAACCAGAATGTGCCGTGCCGTGCCGTGCCGTGCCGTGCCGTGCCGTGCCGTGCCGTGCCGTGCCGTGCCGTGCCGTGCCGTGACAGGACGGGACGGGACGTGGCATCATGCAATGCGACTGAACGGGCTGGTCGGGGTCGGTCGAGATTGCACGGAACAAGACAGCACAGAAAGCTTCCGGATATGATGGGACGGAACACAGCACGACCGAATGGCCGGATGGGACGGTACGCGACGGACTGGGATAAAGCTCAGTCAGGTTATGGCCAGGAGCGGGCGTGACAACTGACGATCAGTTGAGTCAGCACAGCCCGCTCACTTGTTGTAGAGCACGATGTCGGGCCTCCAGATGTGATCGGACGGCACGTGCAGCATGGTCACGCCGCCGTACTCCTCTGGCTCCCACTTCAGTTTGTAGTCCTCCCAGTGCTGACGGATGTCAGAAACATCAGGCCAGATCTGACTGTTGGCGCGCTACCCGCTCCCCCAGACTTGAAGTGCTCATGGGGGCACTCAGCTTGTAAAATCGTCATCCGACTGCATTTTCCGTGTCAGCCAACCATAAACTTCGTTTTGTGCCGTAGCCCTACGATTTAAGACATTGCTATTGCCATCAGGCAGACTGCAAAAGGCTTAGATGAAATGTAATGCGACTTTGTGTCAGTCGGGACAATAGTCACGTATCGGGCTATTGCGGGAAACGACTAGCAAACTACGACAGTGGGAATAAAAACAGCCTATTGCCCCACTCTGTGCTCCCTCCCTTTAAAAGAGAACAGGTAAGATGTTTGAGAAATTTTCTTAGAAACAACATATTTTCGCCCCACATTTTAGGCATTAGCTCACCTGTTCAACCCAGAGGTTCGTTGTCATAATCTGGTTTTTCAAATTCTGCAAAGAGAGAGCGCTGGTTACTGGCAGTCCAATGCAAACACAAGCACCTAAAAGGAGGTTCTTACGCAATCCTGTCGGCCCACACCGGACGCAATAAACCCCACAAAACTGTCGGGCATATTCCCACATCAAATGCTCCATCCTGACCAGGCTTCCACAGACTTCCTTTTTTTACCGGCCCTCTTCTACTGGCTTTCTACCGGCTTCTACCAGGTTTGCCTTCTACCGGTGACTTAGCTGGCTGCGTTGACTATTCTTCGCTGATGATTCGCACTTATTTAAAGCATGTGCACATTGTGATGGGATCGAACAGAGCACTTTGAGATCAACACTTGCGGTGTTTTATCAAGGCCGCGGATTGATAAAACGGTGGGGCTTCTTTTCGACTTGGGTCTTAGAAAATCCTTTTCACCCGGCCCAAGCACTGAGGCCGCAGTATTCAGCGTATAAAATCACGCGGCACGATAGCGTTATTTGAACTGGCGAACAAACATGGTCTCACAACTTCACTAAAGTCTCGATTCTAGTGAAACGCATTTGCAAAATGAAAGCCGGGGAGTGGAATAACAAGTCGTCATCCTCATCGTGGCATTATCGTCAACACTAAAAATTATAAATTTGGTGTCTACGCCCAGCAGCCAATAAACTGAACTGCAGAGAAACGTTCGAGGACCTGTGAAGAACCGAACGTTTATGTTTTCAATAGCATCGGCATTTATTTTAACAAAAACAGGACGGGCGTGCTCCAAAATAAAGTGAAGTTACAGATAACCCAAAATTTGCACTACGTGTCGTCACAATGCCTAGGGAAGGGGAGGGGTTTCGGCGTTGGGTCGCATCCAAAGGAGGACCAGATGAGGGTCGGGTGCTCTCAAGATTGCAGCATGAGGATATTTCACCTCTTTAAGCTTGATTTTCAATAACAGGGCCGTCTTTACAACATGGGTTTCGTCAGGATTACATGCTGAATACATGCTAATGGCACCCGCAGATGTCCAGGAACGGCTGACAGCAGAGAGGGACACCGGCCAGCCGGAGTGGGCGGCTTGCGTTGATGTCGATCTACATAAATGGTCACTGATATATATATATATATATATATATATATATATATATATATATACATATGTATATATATACATATACATATATACATATACATATACATATATATATATA